CGGGGAGGGCTCTGACACGTCAGCAGTCCGTGGTGGGGAAGGAAATCCAGGTCTCTTGTCTTGCTGCCGGGTCCGGCCCCAGCAGCTCAGGCGCGGGGACACGTGGCTCTGGGTTGCAGCCAGGCCCTGGTGCTGCGGGGTGGAAGGAAGGGGCTGCAGGTGCCTTATAGGCTGGGGGCAGGCAGAAGAGATACCGGGCAGAAGGAAGCAGTGAGCCGAGGTGGTCGGGAAAAGGCACGACTAGCTTTGTGCAGTGACTGCACAAGAGCTGCAGTTAGCAGCTCCTTTTTCATGCTCTCCTGTAAGTTACATCGCTGGTTCTCCAGCCTTTTCCAGCTGTTGCCTATAAACGGATCCCTTCCTGGACCCTACTGCCTCACTACTTCATGATCAATATTTCACAAGCTGTGGGGAAGCACATTGTGGTCTTAGGCCGCTGTTCAGGAATCACTGTGTTAGGTAATGATAGAAACGTAGCCGTGTTAGTCTGGTGTAGCTGAAACAAAATACAGGACTATGTAGCACTTTAAAGACTAACAAGATGGTTTATTAGATGATGAGCTTTTGTGGGCCAGATCCACTTCCTCAGATCAAATTGACTATTTGATCTGAGGAAGTGGGTCTGGCCCACGAAAGCTCATCATCTAATAAACCATCTTGTTAGTCTTTAAAGTGCTACATAGTCCTGTATTTTGTGTTAGGTAACTGACTAAGTTCCTGTTTTGGCCAGGGAAGAGCATGGTGCTCTCACCTAGAGGTCTCAGAACATTCAGGCTGAGAGATTTCCTGAGGGTTATTTGGGCATGTGTTGATATCTGCTGTAATTTCACGATAGATCGGCAAGATAGGGATAAGAGCGTAGTGGAGTGAGAGGTAAATTGGACTTGTCACTTTTTTTAGCCTGGGAAGAAGGGGTTTGTACTATGTTTACTTGAAGGACTGAAGCAAAGGAAGGATCCGGAGCCAAACAGTATTTGGATAGGAGCGGACTGACATTTGAGTATTTATGTGAGAGAGTAAAGATAGTATGTGAACTCTTTACATGGGCCCTCAAGTTAATTTTGTCTTACGGAAGATATTATGTTTTACTGCTAACAGCTGATATTAAATAGATGAGTTCAAAAAACAAACCTTCAAGCCATTTATCTTCTCCTCCTCTGAATAAAGGCTAGTCATTTGCATGGTCACTTTTAGTCAATTGCACTTCTCATGGTTGTTGAAGTATATGTTTCCACCAGTCGTAAAAGGAGAAAGGACAAAAACGGGTTTTTTTGGCCTTAGATGTTTGAAGAAGCTTTATAAAATGACTATTCTACATAAGAATGGCCATACTGGGTCAGACCAAAGGTCCATCTAGCCCAGTATCCTGTCTTCTGAGAGTGGCCGATGCAGGTGCGCCAGAGGAAATGAACAGAATAGAGAATCATCAAGTGATCCATTTTCTGTCAACCATTCCCAGCTTCTGACAAACAGAGGCTCTGGACACCATCTCTGCCCATCCTGGCAAATAGCTACTGATGGACCTCTCCTGCCTTTATCTGGCCCTAATGCATTTAATGATGGTAAATAATCTAGCATTGTTTGAAGGGTGTAGAAGCCATGTTAATCCCAGGCTATCAGGGAGACAAGATGGCTGAGGTAATATCTTTTACTGCACCAGCTTTTGTTGGTGAGAGAGGCAAGCTTTGAAGCAGATGTGTAGTCAATTAAGCGATTAACCAGTAAGCCTGAATTTATTGGTTAATCATATCAACTACATGCAACCCCTCTCACCTTGCTGCCTCTGGGGAGGTGGGAGCTGATATGCATGGGGGAGCCTGCCTGTGGGAGGTAGTAAGGGGAGGGGGGCAAGTGGGAGCCAGTGCTGGGGGGGAAGCTGGCTTAAAAGCTGGCCCATGGAGCCATCTACCTCCCTGTGCATATCGGTTCCCAAGCAACTACCTGCCCCCCTCACTGCTGCCTCCGTGGAAAGCAGTGGGGGAGGTATAGAAGGGAGCCTGAACACCCAGGGAACCGGCTTAAAAGCTGGCTCCCCTGAGTACTAGCTCCCACCTTCTCCCCCACATGTTAATGGGTAACCTCTAGAATTTCTAGCGGTTACATAACACAAATAAATTATAGTTAACATCCTTCCTTTGGGGATACTTCAGAAGAACTCTGTCCTTTGAAAGCTTGTCTTTTTCACCAACAGGTGTTGGTCCAGTAAAAGATATAATCTGTCTCTTCAATAAATATACCACCCACTTGCAGAGCAGCCCAAAAAAAAGAAACCCAGGATCAAGTCATTGCTTTGCAGCTCTTACGAATATTGTCCGAATATTCCAGGTGCAGTTGCACTGGTATTATATTAAGCGGGACTGTTCCCTCCTTCCTTCATGGTATGATGCCTTCACGTCCAATGTCCTAAACCACATGGATGTCTGGGCTTCTTAACACATTGCCTGTGTGTATCTATTCTGCTGCCCATTACTGCCTCTTCCAAAGGGCCACCACTTGCAATTTTTCCTCTTTGGAAACTCGGGCATTAACAGTGAGCATTTCCCCTTCCAGATGAACCTGTTCGCTCTTGCTGTGTGTGCCCTGCTGTCTGTTGCTCGTGGCGAGGAGGGGGCCAGGCTGCTTGCCTCTAAATCTCTGCTAAACAGATATGCAGTGGAGGGCAAGGACCTGACTTTGCAGTACAACATCTACAATGTTGGATCCAGGTAAGGCTTGTTTGTGTGTATGTGGTACCCAGAGCTGTCCTGGTTTGGGACAGCTGCCCTTGGTGCACTGGGGGGCCTGGCGCCACAGCAGGGGCTGGGCCAGCCTTCACACTCAGCAGCAGAGCCATGGGAAATGGAACAACACAGCAGCCTGCTCCATTCTGTCCACTCCTAGCCAGGTTGCTCTGCTTCACTGCGGTGGTGGGAATCGGAGCTCCCTGAGCAGTGCAGCTGGGAGCTGAGCTCTGGCAAGTGGAGCGGGCCGGGGCCATTTGCTCTGCTTCCTGTTGGCACCAGGCCCCCTATGTCATGTCACTGGCTGGGGAGTGGGTTTGGGGGAAGGGATGCAAGGGACGCGGAGCAGGGGTGGGAAGAGGCAGGGTGGGGTGGGGTACAGCAGGGCTGGGCGGCCAGTATTAGTGTGTCTCCTCTCTTATGCTTCCCAAATTCCCTCTGGAGGGAGGGGCACTCGGGCGACAGCGGGGAATGGAGGGGAAGAGTCTCTTTGCATTCATAGATAAGACCAGAAAGGTCCACTGTGGTCACCTGAGGTTTTCTGTTAGTGCTGTTAAAAGGACTGTCTGTTCTCACTGGCATCCGTGAGTCCATAGGAGTGTTGACTTCCTTAGGACTAAGATCGCACTGTATGAGATGCCCATCAGGCCCACTCAGCGTGGGGTGTGTTACGAGGCTTCAAGGGTAACGAGACCAAAGTGTGCAGGGTTTTGGGGTTGGAAGGGAGAAATATGATCCTGGAGGCTCTGAAAGGGTCTCAGTGGATTCCTGTATATGGGAAGCAAATCCACGCTCATTGTTGTGCCATTGTAGAGTCCTTGGCTTCGTGCTGACAGTCTCCCCTTAGCCCCAAAGGTCATGGGAAGTCATTTCTCTTGGACGCTGTCTTCCTTCTCCTGCATTCATCTTGGTGCCTTTTTGACACCAGATCAGTCCTGGCGCTTTCCTCTGTTTGTGAAACAGACA